TGCTCTCTACGGCTCGCCCCGCCCTTTCCTCCCCCCAGGGCAGTCTTGGGGGGGGGGATTCCCTTCACTGTTTTTTTTGTCAGATTTTTCTGCAAACTTAGGGGGTCCTCTGACTTTGCAGAAGCATCTGTTTAGCCTCTGTGTGTTCCTGATCCATGGATTTAGCGATCTGCAGATGGGGACATGGGTGGCTAATAGTATATAGATAAGTGGAGACCCACAAGAAACCTGTGGGAGTGACTATCTCATCCCTCCCGTTCTTGCTTCCTTACCTCTCCCTCTATTTCTCTCACACTTTCTCCCTCCTGCCACCCCTTTTCTTTTTCTCTCTCCTCCATGCCTGTCACTTTCTCTCTTTCTGCCCCCCACCTCATCATTCATTTTTTCTACCTCCCCACCTCATCATTCTTTCTGCCCCATCACTTTCCCGGCCTACTACCTGCTTCCTCTCTCCCCACAGCAGCAATGCAGCAGCAGCAGTTCTCCAGGAATCAAAACAGATTTCACAACTACAGAGATCAATTCGCCTTAGGGTTGTCAGTCCCAGGTTGGGAAATTCCTTAAGGTTTGGGGGAGACCTTGGGATGGTGAGGTTGGGAGAAGGAAGTTACCTCAGTAGGGTATAATGCCATAGACTCAACCCTCAAAAAAACAGCCATTTTCTCCAGGGGAACTGATCTTTAACATCTGGAGAGCAGTTGTAATTCTGGGTGATCTCCAGCCGTCACTTGGAGGTTGGCAACAGTAGTTCCCATGAAGGAAGTAGCTGCTTTGGAGAGTGGAGTCAATGGTATTATGCCTATCTGAGGTCCCTCCCCTCCTCAAACCCCACCCTCCCCAGGCCCCACCCTTCCAATTCCCAGGAATTTCCCAACCTGGACTTGGCCAACAGCCAACCTACCTTTATCTACCCCATAGCTTTCTGTCTCCTCCACCCTCCCTCACGGCCTCCACCTAGGAAAACTACGGTCTTTCAACACAGTGGGGACCAAAGCGGCATACATTATTAAAAACATAAGAGAAGGCAATGTTGGATCAGGTCAATGGCCCATCTAGTCAAACACTCTGTCACACAGTGGCCAAAAATACCAGGTGCCATCAGGAGGTCCAACAGTGGGGCCAGGACACTAGAAGTCCTCCCACTGTTGCCCCCCCCCCCAGCACCAAGAATACAGTGCATCACTTGCCCCAGACTAAGAGTTCCTATCTATACCTTGTGGCTAATAGCCACTGGTGGACCTCTGCTCCATATGTTTATCTCATTCCCTCTTGAAGCCGTCCATGCTTGTAGCCGCCACTACCTCCTGTGGCAGTGAATTCCATGTGTTAATCACTCTTTGGGCGAAGAAGTACTTCCTTTTATCCATTCTAACCTGACTGCTCTGCAATTTAATTGAGTGCCCATAAGTTCTTGAATCCCATGAGTTCTTGTATTGTGAGAAAGGGAGAAAAGTACTTCTTTCTCTACCTGCTCTATCCCATGCATAATTTTGTAAACTTTGATCATGTCACCCCTCAGTTGTCATTTCTCCAAGCAAAAGAGCCCCAAGCGCTTTAACCTTTCTTCATAGGGAAAGTGTTCCAACCCTTTTATCATTCGAGTTGCCCTTTTCTGCACTTTTTCCAATGCTATAATATCCTTTTTGAGGTGTGGTGACCAGAACTGTACACAGTACTCCAAATGAGGTTGCACCATCGATATATAGGTGTGTTATACTTCAGTGCTTACTCCCAGCTCCAAATCATTAATAAACAAGTTAAAAAGCATCAGACCGAGTACTGATCCCTGTGGTACCCCAGTGCTTACCACCCTCCACTGAGAAAATTTCCCATTTATAC